AATAGGTTAAATCATGATCCATAGTACAAAACATGTAGTTGTACTATGGATTATTTAAAGTCACTTGTCCCTTTAAGAAAAAGTATCGGTAATTGGTATCGGCAAGTACATGAGGGGAAGTACTTGTACTTGGGCCTGAAAAAGTGGCATCGGGACATCCCTACTTTTAACCTCAGCTGGCTACACCATTCTTGCAATTTTTCCCATTGTTTTGATTTTCTACTGCTGTGTTGCTAGAGTTTGTAAAAGACCCACCAAACCATATATTTTCTGAAAGTACAGGCCCAGTAGAATAAAAAGATGGTGTTACTAATTTTGTAGGTTCTGCAATAATTGCGCAAATGTTTATCAAATCAATATGAAACTGATAAAAATACACAATTCAATTGATAAAAGCACACTAAAATCAGTATCAGTGCACAAACAAATACTTTTCCGACTAAATCTAAAAGATAAAACTGTATTGAGTTAATAAATAACAAATATTTGTAAATAAGCAACTTAAGTTAAAAATCGTTTGTGCGCTCTGCTGGTGCATGACAACACACGTCAATGCATCACAACGTTTTGCCACTCGCTTCTAACAGAGCACTGCAGCGCATGTTCATGGTGTATACCAAAATATAGTGCACACTGTTGAACGAGTATGTTATCTGTGTGTGCGGGAGGGAGGGGGTTGTGTTTTTTTTTAAAATAATTATTTATGTATGTATTTTTTTTACATTTTTTTATTCTTTTATTTATTAATTTTTACTGTTGGGGGGCTTTGGAGATATATTAGGGGTCTAAACAGATCCCTGACATTTCCTTTTTGAAATAGAAAAATAAATTTAGGACACAATCTCTTTTTCTGCAGCCTCTGTTCTAAATGAATGGATAGCACTCAGTACAGAGGCTTCCCATTCATTAACAAACTGGTAATAGTAAAATATTTACTATCACCAGTTTCTGAATGGGTAGAAGCCTCTGTACTGAGTGCTTCTCCTCATTGAGAAACTCATGGATGAACAGGAAGTGATGTAAAGCACTTCCTGTTCATTCATGCCCACTTCCTGTTTATTCATGCGTCCCCAGTTGTTTGGCTGCTGCTGATGAGAGCCATTATTTTAAAGGGGACCATCGGAGGAACCATTCTCATATAAGTTTATGGTCACTAAAGCGACCATGAGCCTATAGCAGAAGGGAGAAAACAAACGCCTTATGGCATACTGAGCTGGCCATCTGGAAACAGTTGTGTTCCACCGTGTGCCATACATCGGTGGCAGGGAAAGGGTTAAAGAATTCAAAGCCTGACTTCTGTATTGTATGTTAATTAGGGTAATAAGAGAAACACAATCCTCAAATTTCAGTTCTAAGTCTTTCTATAAGGACAGATCACTGTGGGAGTGCTCAGGAAAACTTGGATTCAGCCATCAGTCCTGCTGCAACAAAACATCCAAAAGGTAAGACATATTTTTTAACAACTATTTTTTTACGCTGTGTGAATGGGAACACACAACGAACATATAGAGGGATTTTCTCAAAATTGACTGCAAAAGTAGAAATACACTTTATGGCTTTTTATGCACTCAGAAAATGGCAAATGTGTATCCCTGCAATTATTTTACATTGTGTCTGTAAAGAGAGGCACGTGAGAGATATAACAAGAGCACAAAACTTTTGACATGACCCTCAAGAAGTTCAAAGATGTCTCAGATCCATTTAAAGTCTTACATTGGTGAAATGATTCACTCATCTTTATTCATGATCATCCAGTCATCCAAGTTTACTTACTAAAAAACTATTTACACATTTTCTTCTGTATGTATGTTCAAGCAGTAGTCTGCACAAGTTTTGACTTGATCATTGTATGTCTTTGAATCACAAGCAGTTACCAATTATGTCAGAATACACTCGCAATGTTTCGTACACACCCTACAATGGTAAGGAAGTGCGAGGTGTGTTTAGCAAAAGCTGCCAATGTGTACTGCCATATTCATTGAATATATGATATGTGAGGGTGGAGATAAGGGAGCTGTCATTGCTGACTTGGGTTGAGCTTGGGGCAGTGACTATTTTACAACATACACAGGGACCATGGGGAACAAAAGTAGTCACCCTCCAGTGTCAGCACCTATTCACAGATAATTTGAGGGTCTACAGTTGAGTGATACACAAATAAGATACATTTGTATTAATAGTTAGGGTACAACCCCAATTCAAAAAAAGTTGGGACGATGTGTAAAATCTACATAAAAACAGACTGCAACGATATGCAAATCTCATAAACCCATATTTTATTCACAATAGAAAATAGAAAACACATGAAATGTTTAAACTGAGAAAATGTACAATTTTTAAGAAAAAAAAATAAAAGTCATTTTAACCACCTGCTGTCCGGCCATTGTAATTAAACGGCCGGACAGCTGCTTCTTGAATGCGGGTTGGGCGTTTTTAAAAGTCCCATCCCGCCCCGCTCGTGCCCCGCCGCTAGGCGGCGGGCTTGAGCGGGAAATCAGCCTGGAATGTAAACAGCCAGCGATGGCTGTTTATATACAGGCGTTCGGGCGTCTGTAGAGACATAGAGCGATATCGCGTGGAAATATGAGCGATATCGCTGCAAAAATCGCTCACTGTGAATGGGGCCTAAAAGAAAACAAAGGGGTGGGGATGCTGGCTGACATCATAACCCAGCTATGGCCATGGCATGTCTATGATACTCTGCCGTACATCAACAAGACAAATGTTGGTGCATGACCCAGATTTATGTACCTGTTGGAAACAGACAGCACTCTTAACAACCAGTGACAGTGGGCAGAGCCTGATGGGGATGCCGATGGACTAGTTCCCCATCAGGTCTGCTATGCTAGTAATTGACAGCAAATGGTGGGTATAGTGTATGTCATAGCAAACAGCAGGCTGTCTGTTGCTTACTGTATGTAATCCACCCACTGCCTGCTGTCAATTACTAGCAGAACAGGCAGATCTGGTCAGGAACTAGTAGCTCATCTTTCCCATCAGGCTCTGTCCACCCACCAGTAAAACTCCTCAGCAGCTTCACCGCTGTGTGACAGGTGCAGTGGCCATGGGAGGAGGCAGGCACTGGCATTTGATCTGTGAATACACAAATAAGTTCCTGCAGAATTATGTAGCCCCCCCCCGCCCTCCCTCCCAAAAAGTTCTAGTAAGGGAAGAATAAAATGCGGCCATATTGAAATATTGAGTGAAGATCCGCTTTAAGGCTTCCTTCAAACTATAATGCGAATGTGTGTTTAGGAATCCCAAATATGCCTTTAGAAGCAGCTGTTGTCACCCGTTCAAGTTAATGATTGGGTGACATTGGTAACATTTGAAAGCAGCAGTCTGCTGGCTCTCCGCAGGTAATCATATGGGATACATTTACACGCAGTTAGGAATAAATCACTATTCTCGGATGCATCAATTGCGCACCCAAGGATAGTGATTGATTCATTATATACTATACAGGGATCTCAAGTCTCCCTGATGTTCAGGGAGTCTCCCTCTATTAGATAGCGGCTCCCTGACGTCCGCGAGAGAGGCATTTTCTCCCTGAAAGGTTTACTCTGAGTAAACTTTTCCGGTAAGATAATATCAGTGGGTTTGGTTTCAGAGTGAGGCTTGCCTCCTGGAGGAAGGTCATGTGATCTCTAGAGTAGCCTCAGAACGAGGCTTGCCTCTCAGAAGGAAGAAGCTACTTGCTGCACAGAGAGGGCGGACATAGACTACTATTGAGAGCAGGTACCGGCACTGTTGAGAGAGTGCTGTTAACCCTTTGTGGATAATATAGAATCAATTATATGTCCTGGTTGTCTAGTTATAGAGAACATTTATTTCATTTGCTGCCCATAGCAACTAGTCAACCGTGTATCAGGGACTTTACTCCTCAGCGTTTTTAAAAAAGGTCTTGGGCTGTCTAATAAATTGTGACCTTTACACTGACAGATACTTGAACATCAATTCACAAATTGTATGTATGTATGTTCTGATGACGGCCGCTGTAAAAAAAAAAAAAAAAAAAAACTGAAAGGGCACCTCCCTGAAATGAGACGGGAACCTTCCTGAAATAAGGTTTTGCAGGTTGGGATGTCTGATATACGATTGCATGCGGTGTGTTGGTGGACTGTCACTTTCAAACGCGCCCGCTTTCACCCAATTCCTTAACTTGAATGGGTGACAGCGGGTGCTTCTGCATATTTTAGAATTCCTGCTGCAGGAATCCCTAAACGCATAGTCACACCTAGTGTGGATGTAGCCCCTCACTCCTGCAGTGGTTGGCACTCTCCTCTCTCTCCCTCTGCTAGGCTATGGGATGTCCTTTTGGCATCCTCACGTTTAATGCAAGTCAGTGGACCTGCATAAAACATGATGACCTTGGCGGTCCTTAGAATGCCGGAGCCCAGGGAAGGAAAGCCTGCAAGGACTGGTCTAGAAGCCAGATAGGAGCGGGGAGCGGGTAAGTAAATCGGCTTTATTTGAGCACCCCTAGACGAAATAAGCACTTAACCCTTGCAGGGCAGGTGTAGCCCAACTGCATGTTTTTTTTTAAATATTCCCAGAGTTCTTCTTTAACATTGTAGTTTAGGTGCCCAGGATGTGTGTATATGGGGGGACAGGTCTTTTAGGAACCTAGAAATGTAGTTGACACTGAGCCTTGTAGTGGCCATCCCTTTTTAGTAGTAAATCCCATTCTTATGTTGATTTGTTGGTGTGACAGTGAAGCCATGATGTAAATAGTCAGTATACGATTGTACAAGCTTAGCTCTCCCTGGCAGGAAATGAATGTGCACTTCCCAATCAGCAGAGCTGCAGCTTCCTGGCAGCACACTCGCTGATATGTGAAAATTGGGCATCTCTCGGGGGGCGTGCCGTACACAGACCCCGCCCTAATAAAGACTTGTGATTGGCTACCAAAACAAAACAAAACAAAAGAAGGTAATGAGGGAAGCCAGGAGGAAGTTCACACTGTATGGGAGGGTGAGTTGAGCTCGTAGCCGCTCCGACTCGATTTGTGGCTGTGAGCAGTATTAGCAGGTTATGGCTGGCCGAGGAGATGATGAGTTCAGAGACATGTACCATCGCCGCCATGAACAAGTGACAGCTCCCCCGAGTCCGTGCGGAGGAGGACGGCACAGGATCGGCTCAGCAGGTGAGCTCCTGTATCAGCAGCAGTGTGTGTGTGACTGTATTCAGGATGGAGGATCCACTCACCTACATCATACTCAACTCATCAAAACTGCAGCAGACAGAAGCTGGAACACTTGTGCATGACAACCAATCAGTTTCTAGCCATCATTTTAAAGTTTAATGAGTAAACTGAAGAGAGCAGCTGATTGTTTGCCATGGGCAACTACTCCAGATTCTGCCTGCTCCAGTTTTGATACATTCCCCCATATTAGATATACATTGTGATCTCCATCAACAAATTACTTCTGATTATAGCATTTTCTGTCTTTTTAGCCTTGCTCCAGGCTTTAGTTACGTTACAGTCTCATTGTACAATCAACTTTAGGCTGGCCATACACTATACAATTGGATTATTCAATCCATCTACAATCTCCTTTAAGCCAACCATACAATCTGATTGTTCAATCTATGTAGAATCTCCTTTAAGGTGGCCACACATGATACGATTTGATTGTACAATCTCTTATTAGCGTCGCCAAACATGTTACAATCTGTCCTGACCATACCATTTTTATACAATGAGCTTAAAAGTTTGCAGACCTATGCAATATAAGGACCTACTTCATTTATCCAAGAGATTTGTATCCAATCGGGCATGCCCTTGTACTACTTAGTAGTTATTAAATCTAAGGAGATTGTACAATCGGATTGTAAGGTGTATGGCGAGCTTAAAGTTGCCCATACACCTTGCGATTTGCGTTTGATTTCTGAATATAATTGGGTTTTCGCACGATAATCGGCCAGTTGATGGGAAGTGAACGCTCAGAATTACTGTACAACTGGCTGAATTTCGTCTATCGGGCAGCCTAGAAAACTTTTTTTCAAATCGTATGAAAATCGATGGATTAGTGGCGTATTTGTACAAAAAAGATCGCAACATGAACACTGCACATGCGCAAACGAAAATCTGTTCTGTCGATCATCGAAATTCTGTCAGTTAGTATTGCTAACGAACGATAATTAAAAACCACATTGGTCTGTGCATGATGATGCAGTCGTGTGGAAATCGAACGATGGTTCGATGACGGGCTGAAAAAAAAAAAAAAATTGTACGATACTTGTAAGGTGTATGGCCACCTTTTAGGGTCACTATATATGTCACAAAGACATTACAAGCTCAATACAATCAACTTTAAGCTGGCCATAAATTATACAGTTTGATTGTACAATCTCTGCAGGGTCTCCTTTATGTACCCTGAACGCACTGGATTGCATAAACAAAGGCTCCCTTCGTTCTGGGGAGGGGGGTGGTGGCATTCATTTCAATGGCACCACAGACACACCTCCCTCCCACAGTGCGATCACACCGCACTGGAACACAGGGCATTGCGGTAGCATGCATTTCGGTGCGGGCGGGAGGCATGTCTGTGGTGCCATTGAAATAACTGGCACCACCACACCTCCTCCTGCCCCAGAACGCATGGAGCCTTTGTTTACCCGATCCAGTGCGTTCATGGCACGGAACCTTGCCCTAAACGCACTGGATGGTGTGAACGGGCCCGTAAGGTCACCATATATGTTTTAGGCTGGCCATAAACTATACAATCTGATTGTACAATCTCTGTAGAACTTTCTTCTAATGTGAATGTATTGTTGGTCAGGGGGGGGACAGAGGGGGCCATATTTGAGTGGGTAATTCCATTTCCCCAAATTACTCGGGAAAGTGAACTTACCCTTTAATGGACATTGTGCTTGTTGGAGAGTTCTGCTGCCCGACTACCACAATATGGCACACAGTGGAATGGGGGTAGCACTCAGGGCACACACACATACAAAGCCCTACTTGTGCATTTATTCACTTGCAAATGGTGGGGGCGGGTGGGTTTAGTGGTGGCCATTTTAATTTAATATTGAGTTGGAAGTTCAGCTGATTTACCAAAAAAGTTGAGACTCTTCATTGAAAAAATGGTGTAAAAATTAACTTAAAAGTATCTATCCATCTGAAAAGAGGCTGCACACACACTTGGGTATTTAAAGTGGTCAGGAATGTGTGGGTTTTTTTTGGGGGGTGGGGGGTTATACAATTGGATAAATCAAGGTTTTTTTTTGTTTGTGTTGTTAATAGTCTCAACTTCTTTAGTAAATGAGCCATAGTCTGTGTTTGAACAGAAGGAGTGAAGAGCCCCAAGTCTGTTGACTTGTATCTGCCCCCAGATTTTTACTGTGCTACCCTACCAGGCATTGCACAACCTCTTTTACAAAAGACTCTTGGCTGGGCTCTGCTTCTTCTTAAGAGGATGTCCATTAATTCCTATGAAAGGGAAGTCCACAGTTGGGGCAAAAGATACAGTCTTTCCATTAGCAGCCACCTTGCAGAGCCCTGATTGTCAACATAAATCATAGAACTAGTTCCTCCAAAGGCTTCAACTTCTGTGAACCAAGCCAGCTGCTGAATGACGGTTGGTGCTGCATCGTCCGTGGATAGGCGGGCACACACACAGATTTGCACATTTGGGCTGCAGGCATAGAGGCTGTGACTGAGCCCCTCAGACTTGTACACACATAAATGCGTGGGTAGGCTGTGGCATCAGGCAATAGAGCAGCAGGAGCACAACTGCACCCAAGACATGTAGATACCCAAAAGACAGATACTTTAAAGCAAGTGAAACAGAACTGGACAGCAGTTCCAAAAGTCAGGCTGTCTGGTTCAAATCCTAATTTAAAGCAGAACTCCAGGCAAATCATATCTTAACCCTTGCAGTGCGGGGCTAACCCCACCTGTTAGTGCTTGTTTTGGTTTAGGGAGCTAAAATATCAGAGTTATACTCACCGGAACCACGTTCCCAGCTTGCTGTTACACCACTCCCTCCAGCCTGTCTTCTCCATTCCAGGGATGGAATGTCCCTCAGCATCCTCACATCCTATAGAATGTAATGACTCAAAGGGCCTTCAACCACTAGAACCGGAGGGGGAGCAAGGCCGAAGGGACCGGTCTAACAGCAAGCCGGGATTGTGGTTCGGGTGAGTATAACTCTGCTGTTTTAGCTTCCTAGACCAGGCAAACCCCATGGCAAAGGTTAAGATTTAATTTGCCCAGAGTTCTGCTTTAAACCGTGCGCAAAAAGGTAGATATGACAGGTAGTAGAGAAACATGAAATAAAAAAAAGACTGCATACTTAATATGATTACTTGTAATAATCACACTCAGCTATATATATTTTCTTTTTGAAAACTAATCTTTTAGAACCTGTGTATCCAGGTGTGAAAGTGATTCCCTAACATGCAGGTTTTCATAAAGTCTTGTAATGCATTAGTGCTCGTAAGTGTAAGGGAATACCGAAGATACGATTTCACTTAATTTGTATGACTCATAATTTGAAAGACAAGACGTGGTATAGTTAACACTTTTTACAACTCTATAGAGCCTAGAGTGACCTAAAATAATTTTATACCATACTTGTAAACGTAACAATATCAAAAGTATAAAGATCTTGTATTTGATTACAGGGGTTCGAAAAGTACAACTAGACTGTTATTGTAACACTATGTGGTCCCTTATTGCTTCTAAGCATTTTGCAAGGCAGTGTTCTAGAAATGTCATTACAGCATTTTAGGTTTTATCAGTTGGTTTAAAATGTAGAAGCATGTTTAGAGGAACCATTGTATTATACTGAAATATGGATTTAAAAAAAATATTTATATAATCTACAAGCTTGTGTATTACAAGGTTGTTGGCATATAATTGGAAATTAAATTTGATCTCATTTACAGACTTTACTGTAGGCAGCTCAATACGATGATGCATGTTTTGCACACAGCTACAGTGACCCCTGTATCTCCATTGCTCCCATCATGGCTGCAACAACCTCCATCTTTCTAGTGTGCCCAAAAGCATTGAAGACAAAAAATGATTATTCATTCAAAATGAATTTTATAACTTGATGGCTACATATGATAAGCTTTGTTAAAGTTTTGATAGAACGTTGTGCATTTAAATGTATATCTGGGTAATATGGGGGGGGCTGGTTGATCCAAGAGAGGGAGCCCTGTTTTTAGAAAAATCCTGTGGCATCTGGAATGGTTTAGATGTGTAGGTCAGATTACCAACATTACTAATAGCTATGTTAGGGCCTAACTATACAATCCAATTGCTTTGTATCCAGTCAGGTTGACTCTCACACTGCTTTAAATTTTAGAGTTCTAACAGGTCAGATTTGAAGCAAAATCTTACTGTGTATAGCTAACACACTTGCAGCGTTGTATGGACAGTATTGGCAGTTACCTGACTGATTGCATTTGTTTATTGAAGTTCCTCTATTTCTATTACCTTTGCCCTGACTATGGTCATTAACGTATTCACATATTCATAACTAGCTGTGTATGAACTTTAAAGTGTAGTTCCACTTTTGTAGTCAAATTTGAGAAACCCCCCCCTAAATATTTATATGTTCCCATTCATACAACATACCTAAAAATACATTTTTAACAATCTAGTTGTTTCATTGGAGCAGGAACATACACAGCGCTGCAAGGTATGCTGAACAATTTCAAACTGGAAGAAAGTGCATTAGCATGAAACGCATCACCCAAGCCTTGAGACCTTTATCTCTGTTAGGATAGACAGTGTCCAATTATAATTTACAACTGACGTGGAAGATCTGCCAGCACAAACGTGACATGGTTAATTATGATAGATATCATACATTACATAGAAGGAGAATCTAAATAAGATTTGTAAACAAGTAACACACATTAGAAGACTGGCAGACTGCCAAATGTTGTTCCCTATAGAAAAAAAGCTAACATTTATTTACATCTGTTGTGAACTTTGAAAAAGTATTTCTCTACAATGCAGACAGCTATGGAGGTGAATGGGGTGCATTTGAAAGCCATTTTACTGCTTGTTAGAATATGTAATGCAGCTTCACTTTAACGTTTTAACATCTCCTTCCTATTGTGTAACATTTTACAAAATCCTGGAAGAGGACAAAAGTAAGGAGGGAAAGTAAAAGTGGGGAAAGG